AATAAAAATAAGTTCCTGTATCTCATTAATTCAAGAATTGATCGATTTATTAGCATGTCTACCAGGGTTGTCTACGCTTTATGTCACCACCATTTCCGGCCTCATATTACTCTATTTTCAATGAGAATAATTTTTTACATCGATTTTCTGTCTCTGACAGGAGGTATTTTGTGTTCTTATTGCTTTGTATTCCTTACTTTTCTACATGATTTGAGAATATTTTCTTTTGTTTTTGAAGAACTCCTAATATATTGTGCATTTAAATATTTGTGAAAACAATAAAAAAACAAACTTAAGTTTCCAAAATGGAAAGCATTGACTAAGTGGAAAAGTAATGATTCACAGGTGATGGATCCAGGGCAATCTACTAGCACTAAGAATATTGAAAAGAAAATTTTTTACAGAAAATATAATGACAGTTATTTATCATTTGGGTTTACTTTGAACATAGAGGAAATGGACCCTCAACCTCAATGTGTTATTTGCAGTGAACTATTATTCAATCAAACTATGAAACTATCGTTTTTTAAAAGACATCTTGAATCTAAGTATGCCAGTTTCAAGGATAAATATGAAGAATATTTTAAGAGGAAATTATCGGAGTTCAAAAATAGTAAATACGTAATGAAAGGTTATGTTATTTTCAAGTGAAAAAGCTTTGGGAGCTAGTTACCTTGTAAGCCTAAGAATTGCCAAGACTGGGCACGCTCACACTATTGTATTGAACAAAACCTCATATTACCAGTAGCTAAAGATATTGTTTTAACATTATGCAAAGAAAAAGTGGCTAATGAACTTGATAATATTCTATTATCAAATGATACAGTAAGTGGATGAATTCATGAAATGGCAAATGCCATAAAAGAGACACTTTTCAAGAAATAAAACATAGTATTTCGCATTGCAAATGGATGAAAATACTGATATAACAAACTTTGTTCAATTATTAGTTTACGTACGTTTCAAAGAAGAAAAATGAATTGCTGAAGAGTATTTATTTTGTGGATCTTTTCATAATAGAATAACTGCAAATGAAATTTTTAAAGTAATTGACAATTTTATATCTGAGTATGATATCCCTTGCAATAAGAGCACTGCCATATGCTGTGACAGCGCTCAGGTTTTTAACAGGAAAGTATTCCTGTGTTATTTCTCAAATAAAGAAAGTTGCACCTGGAACTAAATTTACTCAGTGCTCCATTCAGCGGGAAGCTTTAGTAGCCAAAACAATCACTGAAAACCTGAAAACCATTTTGAATGAAGCTGTGAAAATCGGTAATTTTATTTGAAGCCGAGCTTTAAATTCAAGAATATTTATGATTTTTTGCCAAGAGATGGGCAGTGAACACGAAATGCTTTTGTTACATTCCGAACTGAGGTAGTTATCCAGAGGCAATTTTGTGAGATTGTTGAAGTTTTTTTTTTTTTTTTCCCGAATATGATCAATATTTTCTAGTTAACTCTTTAAAAATGTATATCTTGCATTTTCATTTGGTTGCTAAAACTAGCACCTTATATAAGCATGTTAGGAGAATTTACACTGAGGCAAAGATGCCATTTTATTGCTCTACATGTATGGTGGGACAAGTGGTATTCCACCGTGTCATGAATTACCTTAAAGGTTTACCCATTTTTCTTGCATTAGGGGCTAAATTATCTATGTGTAAATTTATTTTTTGAAGAAAAAAAAAATTATGCACTGAACATGAAATGGTTAACCCTTTGTTTAAATGTTTCTAAAATAAAAATTTATTCCAATTATTTGAGCTTTCTGGTTAGTTGAATGCCCGATAATTGAGCTTTTGCCATAGTACATAATCAATGTCAGTTTTACTTTAATAAAGCACAAAGCTTGGATTTTTAAAGTATTGCAAATTTGAATATTATTAATTTATGTATTTACTCATTGTTTATACACAAGTAGTAATAACTCCCTTGCTGTATTTGTTTGCATCTAGCCATAAAAGGATATTCCAGTTTGACTTTTGCTTGCATATGCATATAATGCTTCAATCTATATTTATACTTGACCTTCATTCTTAGCATATTAATTCAAGAACCTACACCAATATTAAAAAATTACATATTTTGTAATACCTTCTTTTATGAGTTATTTCATGTGTAACGCTTTGAAATAGCAGTAGTAATTTAAATTATACAATAAATCTCTTACATTAATTCCATAATAAAGCTTAATTCACTTATTATTGATTCATCAAATGAAATGATATACTTGTTATATAAAAAGTTTTGTATTTACAAGTAACAAGTATTGAACGATTTTAATTAACAAGTTACTTTTTAAAATTTTGTTATCATACTTATTACCAAGCTAACTCAGTTTTAGAAAATTCAATTTAAATAGAGTTAAAGTAAAAATAGCAGATAGCATAGTGAAGGTAAAAGTTCACATTTGCAAATATAAAAAAGAAAAAAAAAAATTAAAAATTTGATTAGTATTGCTTACAATATAAAAAAATCGCAGACTTCCTTTTCACAACTGTTGATGATAGACATGTACCTCTACTTACATGTGTATAAATATTCGTGTTACTGATCATTTTTGTTAAAATTGTGTAATCCTGTCATTTAGTAAATTCCTTGTTATCTATAATTTTTTCATTTTTTGTTCTGTTGCACTTTGACATATTAAGTTGTACGTGATCCTGAAAGTTTGTAAAGAAGCATTTACTATTCTGTATATATATATACTTTATGTTAAAAGAGTTTCCAGAAAATACTTGCAGGACTTGAAATATAAAAAAAATTATTAGCTTGTCATCTCTGAAGTAACATCCTTAATAAACATGCACTTTCTGTAAGTACAGTACAAAGTCCGTAATCCAGACTCGTCAGGACATAAGCGATTCCGGATTATAGATCATCAATTTAAATCTGGTAAGATGGCATGCAGAAATTATACAATTAAAAATATGAAATCGTAATTTACGAAATAAAGAGCAGTTATAATCTAATGGGTATCAAAATTTACAAAAAAAGCTTAATATTTATTTGTTTACTTTAGTAAACATTTCTATCAATGTAAGTTTTTAAGTTGCTTCGTTTTTAGTGCTAATACTTCTCTTTAATTCTATAAACAGACATAATTTCTTGTTCAGTTACAAAGTTCCACTGTTCAAGTCTTGTAATTGCTGTGTCGAGAATACTAACTTGTCAATCGAAATGTTTTTGTTTTCAATAACGTTCTCTGTTACTTTCCTCACCATCGGAAGCACACATGGGTAAACGATTTACTGGCTTAATGCGCATGCATAGTGGACGCGCACATCAAACGCATGCGTAAGTTTGTGGCTTTGAGGTCCGAATTATAGATCATTCTGGATAGTGGACTTTGTACTGTATTTCTGTAGAATGCCTCATTTGATTTAGATAGCTTGAACTGACTTCAGGCAACAATCTTAGTTAAAGATAACAGTGAGAGTAGAGTAGGCGCTCAATTCCGGAACGAATTCTATTGTTTGCTTGAAGAGTCCAAGATTTGTAGGTATGGTACGTGAAAGTAGGGATGAGCTAAGAGGAGAAAGGAAAAGGAATTTTGAGGGAACAGGCTCCTGCTTTGTGACGGAAGCTAGCGTTTCATTATTAAAGTGTATTATTTATTCTTATTGATAGTCTGCCCTTTTTTTTTTCAGTTACAATTTTTTACAGTACTTAAAATAAATAAAAACTTTACAGTTACGTATTGTAACTTCATGTAATACTCTGTTACTTTACCGTAATAAGAGTTCTAATAAATATAAAATTTCGTTGGAATAAACAAAATTATGTAATTTTGCCAAAACGTTATGCCTTTAAGCACATTTTAAATAAGCATACAATTTTACATTGCAAATGCGTATTTCTCTACGAAATATTTTTTTTCTGTTTCATAAATTGATAAAAATTAATCTGTCACACAAAATGTTCAATAAAATACGGAGCATAAAAATAAGCAGTGAAACTCCTTCCACGGTTCGGGAATAAGTCAGCGAGCATATCCCTTTTTTCCCTAGTACCACTGAAAGCCATTCCACGATCTAATTATTATTTCCGTTGGAAACCATTCCGGAACCTTTCCTTTCTATTTCTCTCGCCCAGCTAACAATAGCAGGCGTTCCGAGATTGACGGTCTATGAGAGTAGAGGATGAGATGTTTTGCAAATAAGTTTGTAACATGATAGGTATTTGTTTCTGATTTAAAACAAAATAATAACCAACGTTTTTTACTCAAAATATAACATTGCATTGAACTATCGAAAGTTTTTTTAACTGTGTTTGGATTTTAACACAAACACTGTCATTCTGATTGCATCACTTTAAAACAATTTTTTCATGGCAAGTATGCCAACATGTTATAGCAGCGTTATTCAATTACTGAAAATTTCACTAGAATAAAACTTTTTTTTTAACAAATGAATATTCCATATAGAAGAAAGTGACAATCAGGTATTCAATGAAATTTGTTGAAAACCAAAACACTTTCAATTTTGCATGTTGGGAAAACGATTTATTTTTGATTATTGTAACATAAATTTTCTAAAATGCTCTCATAATTTAACCATCTGCTATAAAATAGTGCCATTTTTTTAATCTAGAAAAAGGTTAGGTTATTTAATTATGGCAAAGCCTCGAGGGCTATCTGCCTAAGGGGAGGGATGCCTTCGTGGAGGACTTTCTAAGGGAAACTGGCTCGTATACACGTTACACATGGGGAAAACCATGAAAACACCCATGCAGCCAGCCCGTTCGCGGGATTCGAACCTCGGACCGATCTACCAGTGTTCAGCGACTTTATCGCTTGGCCGCTGGTGGGCCTAATCTAGAGAAGGTGTGCATGTTTATTTTTTTTTTAAAACATCATCTTACATATACAATATTGGATATTCTATTTTTTCATTATTTTAAGAATAACTTGCATAATTTAAAATATTGCGATACAATTTTTAAGAGTTATATTTTACTTGTATTTCTTAATCGTTTTCTTATTCACTTCCTGTAAGGTCGAGTGAAAAGATCATCAGATATAGCAGTTATTACATTTGCTGTGACAACATTAGGATTTTGGTAAGTGCACATGTAAATTTTTTACGTACCTTATAAAATCATTTTGCAAAATTCAGTGCCTCCTCTCCCCATGCTTTTAGTGTATTTTTTTATATCTATTTTAACTCCTAAAAAATTGATTGTCAAATTATCATTAAAATTTTAAAAAGTGCTTTTGATTTTATATGTTATACATAATTTTAATCTGCTCTTGAGAGCATGCATAGATAAACGTATATACTGTGCCTACAGAAGCCTACCAGTCCTTTTATTTTCATAACTGTGGATCATAGGCATGTAATTTCAGTTACAAAAATGTTTTTAATGGCAGAAATATTCATACCATGGTATTTTTAGATAAAAAAAGGTTTTTATAAAAATTAGAAAATCTAACTTTTTATATGTCCCTCTCAAGTCCTTATAATACGCACATGTCTGCAAAAGTCCTTATGAGAAATGTAGTAAATAGAATGGCTGTGGTATGACAGAGATCAGTTTAAAAAACAAAAAGATTTTTTTTCCTCACCATTCAACACTGCACTGAATGGCTGAAAGATGTGTCTAACATCCAGACAAACCAACATCTAGTATCAGCCAACCTCGTAAATATGATGTGAACTTTTGAACAGGAAAGTAAATTTGTCTGTAAGGTTGGTATAGATTAAAGCTCTAGCATTTTCAAAAAAGTCTATTAATGACTATATGTTAGCTTCATTGAAATAAAACATGATGTATGATAAAATGAAATGCTAAATAAAAGAAAATTTTTAAATTAAAGAAGAGATAAAGAGACCCAAAATTAAAATTTGTGTACTTAAAATTGCTGTCTTAAAATTAGTCATTATTTAACACCAATATACAGGAAAAGTCAAAATGAATGCCCCAATTTCATAGGTACACTATACAAAATGTATTCATTAAAAATATACATGAATGCAGAGGTAATATAAGCAAGTACTTTGAGCAAGCAAGCTTTGAATGTACTTCTCACAAATGTTCAACATGCACTTTTGTTATATGGCATACATCAAGTCTGTTGGAGGCACATACAAGCAATCTTTAATAAACCTCCACAGGAAAAATTCACATGGGGTGAGATCTAGGGATCGCGGGGGCCAAGCACACTGTCTGCAGTAGATACATGACCAATCCACCATTGCGGTAACATGTTATTGAAGTAGCTTTGCACATCAGTCATAAATTATGGTGTCTGCTGCAGAATAAAGCTAGACATATTCTCTAGTAGTCGTAGCAAAAGCCATTATTTGAGCATATCAAGGTACACTCCTCCCATTGCAGACTGTAGATAGTTTAATGGGGTATTGCATAGTACACATTAACCATAGGAGAATGATGTTGGTGAATGCCGCATGTGAATATTCAGTACCCCAAATTGTCACATCATGATTATATTTACTAATCTAGAAATGTGAAAAGTTGATTCATCACCGAATACTAACTTTTTCAGAAATTCGTCATCCTCCATGCATGTCAGAAGTTTCTCGCAGAAAATATAATCACCACGGCAGATCTTCAGGTTTCAGATGTTGGCCCAAATTACAAATAAAATTTCATTTGCAAATGCCTCCTAACTCTCCACAATTTTAAGTTCCAAATTCTCGTCTAGTTTGATATGTCAATTTTTGAGGCTTTTCACCTAGCTGGCTTCAATATGCTCAACTACTTCTCCTATCGAAGGATGACCTGTTGATTTTCCTTTACAAATGCATCCTCTTGAAATTTTGGACTCCCAGTGACATCTATTAAAAACTTGCTTTTATTACCTCCGCATATATGTACATTTTTAATGAATACATATTACATTTTGTATAGTACACCTATGAAATTGGAGAAATCATTTTGACTTACCCTGTACATTGATTCATCTTCTCAAACTGAAATAATGAAGGAGATGTCTGAGCCTTCCCATGGTTTTCCCCATATCTTTAACATGAATACAAGCCAGTTGTACTTAGATCTGAAGGCATCCCTTTTCTTAGGCAGTTTCAGGTTAGTTTTTACCATAATCTAATGTATCTAAGTCATGCTAGGTCTAATATTAATAATGTTAATGCTAGGTCTTTTTGTACCTTTTGTTAGGGAACTTTGAGAGATCTAAATGTCTGTAGATGATTTAAATGATTTTACTTACTTCAAATAAAGCATTCAAATGCAATCTGCTAGCTAGTGAAGAACTTTCAAACTGAAATTAGTTTTTATTTACATTACGTATGGTGAAATTCCCATGCAGTTGTTCAAGTTATGGGAATTTGAAGCCAGTATGAGTACCAGGGTTTTGTCACTTGATGACCAATGGCTTCAAGTATCATTTGAGATTTTACCAATCGAGAACATAAACCTGTTTGTTGCATTTCAAGAATTTCAAATCCCGTTTCTTTTCATCATTTATGACAATCAATACAAAGAGTGGATATGCATTTTTTATTAATGCTTATTTGCATTTATGAAAAATGCATATCCAGTTTTTGCAAATTATCTACATATTTTAAAAAAATACAAATAATACAATACTGACTATAGACAATTTCTCCCTAGGGCATTTTGCAGATATAACTGGTCAAAAGAACATTGGCTGACTCAAAAAATGAATTCTGCAGTTCATGATGTCATGCTAAATGAAGGAATAAAGAAAAGAAGTGACACCTAAGATATTTATTATAGTATGTATTTATTAGACAGCATGAATAAAAGTAAAATATGTTTATCTTTTACATATCTTTTCTACATGAAAATTATTGAATCTATTCTAGTCATGAATATTTTAAATTGATCACACAAAATATGAGAAATGAAATTACAAAAAATGTGTATGATGAAACAAAATTAGGTTTTTGTGTGTTACAAAAGTAATTTTTATTTATTTTGGAATACAAAACTTAAAATGTTTAAGTTCTTACTAATTAATTTTAATAAATATTAACAGGTTTAATTAATGTTAGGTTTTATTTTTCATATATATCATCACTTAGCTCTGACTGCAGTACATGCTACATCTGATATCAGTAAAATTAATACTTTTTAATAATTCTATCATATTTAAAAATTCACCAATATTAAATTTGATAACTTATTAAAATAGTCAAAGAATTTTACTACTCTGAAATATAAAATACATAAATTACTTTAAAACTTAGAGTACAAAATTATTTATTTACTAATAGTTGTATATTAAAATAAATTTGTGGAATTTCGTTTCCAATTGTGGAAAGTAAAGCAAAAATGTTAAGTACATTGTAATTATACTACTACAATATTTCAAACAGCTTTTCACCATTACATAAAATATTTAATATTTTATTACATTGTCTTTATAAACTACAGTGCTTTCGTTCTCCTTTAAATATTAAATAGTGTGTTAACCCATTTAAAGCTGACAATGCTCCATTCATCTATCTTATCCAATAAAGTCAAAAATGCATCTAATGCATTGTTGGCTGTATTGTTTCAAAACAGAAAAGTTCCAGCTCGTAAGAATCATTGCATAATAAAGACTTCAGCTTCAGATGGATTAATATTGAGGGAAAGTATTTGTTAGAAATGGCTTCGAATTATTTTTACCACTTCAAACTAGATTAAAAAAAGATAAAAGTAATATATAATTTCTACTGTATTTTTGAAAATAAAATTTTAACACTTACTGTAGACAAAGTGAGATAACATGGAAAAGCAGTTATTTTATGGAGTATTTTATCAGAAACTAATTCCAGAGGAAACATTTAGACAGCTTGTACACGCACTGGTCAGACACATTACTAACAATCCAACTATAATATAATTTCAAAAACATTTCAATGTACAACAAACATAATTTTCATGTTTAATCAGCAGTTTTAACATTTATTGTTTTACCCAAGATGTCAGAGCCATTTTCTTCCATTTAACATAAATATCTGGTCCGCAAATATGCAATATATTACATTGATATACTACACATGAACAGGAATAAACCAATTACACCACATATCTTATTTGCATGCTGTGACAAGCTCTCAAAAATGGAATATTTAACCACTGTCATCATCTTTTTCTTCATCTTCAATGCTTTCTTGTACAACTGGTGTAGTAGTAACAGGTACATTTACATTAGGTGCCATCAAACCATCAATTTCATCAGAGCTTTTTTTGAAATCGATCTCTACCTTATATTCATGCTTAGAGATATAACGCACATATTTTTCAGGTGGTATAGGATTAGTCACAGATACAGAACGAACAGTTGTGTGGGATACATATGTAGCAGGCATAGTAAATTCAACATCTACATACTGTTCAAACGCTTCAGGTATTTGGTCAAATGATGTCAGTTCTGTACGAAGCAGGAACAGTTGCTGTGTATATGCTCCTAAAAATATTTTCATTTTAAAATGGCAAATGGAAACAAATAAATAAAACACTGTAGAAATTCAGAGTGGGCATCATATTTACAAATTAGTAATTCAGAATGATTTTCAATAGTTTTGACACTGACAAAAAATTACCTTGTCCTTCTTTTGGAAGGCGAGGAATACGCCAAACCACAGCATGGAAGACATGTTCATACTTTGCTTGACCAGCTGATACTTCTATGAGACTTGTATCAAGATTCTGAGCTGCACCTATTATTCGTTCCAAGCCCTATTAAAAAATGTCAGTATTATACAAAATAGACTTCTCTATGTTGAAACTGATTTAATGAACACATTACAATTATAAAACTTAAGTAATATTTTCTTTTTAATTTGCTATTAGTACAGGAACTATTTTTATAATGTGTGCACTTTTCCTCCTTTTGTTGTTTTAATGAACTTGTGATGTGAATGAGAGAAGAGATTTTGGGCACACGGATATTATATAATGCCAAACATGAGGTAGGATGATCTAATTTGATGATGAAATCAAAAATTTATTAATAAAAAAAGGCAGACAAATGTATTAAATCCAGAGGATGAAGTCATATAAAAAACCAGGTGAAAGCACATATTAAAATACAATAGACAATCTTCAGAACAGATTACATTAAATAATAAAAGCCATCTCTTAAATAATAAAATAAATTGCAATTGACCTCTCTTCCGATTAAACGGTTGAGAAGTAAGTCACAGCTATTGAAATATTTTATGAAGAAGACTATTTAAGCATGGACACTCAATTAAAATATGACGGCCTGGCTCATTCTCAGCTTTCAAAAGGTAGTTATGTGTCACTCTAGTGTGACCAATTCTGAGGCGAGTCAAATGAACTTCCTCCTTACGATTTCTAGTAAAATCCCAATGCTCAATTCTAAGCTTTACATTTCTCAACTTGTTTTCACGCTGAACATCCCAAAGTTGCTGCCATTTCTTTCGGATCTTCTCTTTGACAACACAACAGATGTCTCTAAAAGGGATGAGGCGATTGGACAATTCAACAGCACATTATGCTGTTATGTCTGCCAGCTCATACCCCTTTATTCCTGCATACCAAGGAACCCAGCAGTACAGGATTTCATATCCATGACTCGTTAAGAAGTTTATATGAATTTTCAGAACATCCACTATTGCTAGATTTTGAATGTTGGGAAAACCTTCTAACAATTTAAGTCCGTATAAACTATGATTTAGGAGTCTGCATAAACTATGAACTTTTTGTGACAGAGCTTTGAGATGTAAAAAAGAATATAATATATTGCAGTTCAGATGTTAAGACAGAGAAAACATGGTGCAAGCGTCTGCCCTCCATGTGATTTTTAATTACAAATGCCATCCTGGCATGATCATTTGACTTAAATCCATCTGTATATACTGTAACTGCTATATTTATGCCTGTGCTCAGTAAAGAGTTATCTGTAAATGATGTCATTAGTGCTTGCCTTCACGTGATAATTGAAAACATTAAGAAGCGGGATCCGTGCATTCTCCCAAGGTGGGAGAGTTCCTCAATGATAGGGCGAACTCTTAAAGGAAAGTTAGGCACACAGGATGGACATGTTTCAAATAAAGTGCTACACACATTATCAAGTAAATACAGTTTATTAGGATGTTCAAATTGCGATAAAATTTTAAAATACTGCTAAAGGGATAACTGCTCATGCCTCAGATAAAGTGATGGTTCGTTAAAGTCAACATACAGGCTCTGGACAGGAGATGTCCTAAAAGCTCCAAAACAAACCCGCAGAGCTTGGTGGTGAACAGGATCTAGTTTTATCAATACTGATGACCGAGCGGATCCATAAACAACTGAGCACGCATTCAGAAGGCGTATCCAGACAGTATCTAAGAAGAAACATTCAGAAGATGTATTCAGATGATGTTTAAGAAGACGTATGTGCGGAGACGAATCCAGACAAAATCAAAGGAAGACGTGTTCAGATAGACTGTTCAAGATGAACGAACACTGAAAGAGCATTGAAGAAGAGATAACGCCATTATTTCTGAAGATGTTAAGATGATGAGGGAAGATGGCTGAAATAAACCATTTAAGACGACTTTTCCCTCAATACTAACTAAAAAAAAATTTTTTTTCTAGTTTTATTTTTCAGATCCCTAGATGTAGATGGTGGTACTACGAGAATGCGAGGCCACATTCTGTCAGAATCGGATGAGCAGTTATGGGAATGTGTCATCGAGTAGACATAGAGCCAAGCCGTAGGAAAAAGGACCTTTGAATCCTGAGTGCTATGACAGACTGAACTGCGCAATCACTCGCAGAAGGACGTTAGTGAGAGCATGACGATGATGACGGCATAGTCCAGTGTGATGTGAATGTATTTTAAGCAGAAAATAAACTAGAATCATTATGTGATGATTTAGAAAAGGAGACTTAGATACTTACAAATCATGGTCAGTTTAATTACTTTTACTGGCAAACATTTTTGATTGAAACACAGATAATATGGTGCAGTAAGCACCCATTCCTTAAAAAACTGCATCAGTACCATATAGAATTTTGAAATGCATTTGAAGCAGCAGATGTTATCAAGCTGGCAACAGCAAAACATGAGTATATGTATTAAACTTTAAAAAAAAAAAAAAAAAAAAAATTAGTCCCTTATGCTATAGTCCCTTAACTCTTCAACTTGGCTATTTCCTCTTCCTCTCTTAAAAGTAATAACTGAAATGATGCAATTTAAATAAATTTATTAATATCTCTAATCTCCAAGTGTTTCTGCTCTTGGAACCCTTAAGTTTCCCACAATGACTGTGACTTTTCACCGATTCCTATTCTACCACCATACATCCAACGAAAAATTGGATCCATCAGATATTTGCCCTGTGTAATGACTTAACAGCCATACCGCTGTATGGAATTTTATATTCATAACCCTCGGATAGTTAAACTGCATCATTTCAAAATTAATCCACGATTCCTGCACAATGCTAATAAAATGCTTCAGCAAATTAAGATTTAAATTTTTAAAATACTTTTTATTCATAACAGTATTCAGCATCACAACATTAAACATTTTCTATATTAACACTAAAAAAAGTTCTTGTATGTTTTTCTACAATATTAATCAAAATTCTTTCATTCATTTTTCACATTTACCTCATTCTCAAAATAATTCAGAAATATACTGTATGAACACCTGTAATTTCAAACTATATTTTTTAATTTTTAGTTGCATTCGCCGTATAACGTGCCCCCTTTTCGCTATGAAGAAATTTCAAGATGCATATGCGATGTTGCTATCTTTTGAAGCCATTCAAAGATTTGTCACAGGCTTTCAAACAATGATATACTATTGAAAAGCAATATGGAGAACGATATGTATATGGGGGGGGGTAAGCTTGAGGGAATAAATAATTCTGCAAAGAGGGGTGGTATTCAGTGCAGCTGTGCACAAGAATATTTTAGGATTGGTTTTAAGAATAGCGGGAAATAATATACGAATGTACTTCCGATTCGGATGAATCTGCAGAATTATGAATTAGATGCTTTCTCTTTCTGCAGCCATTTGAAGCTGTGATTTTGAAATGAACATTGAAGGCTTTAATAAATCGCATTTGCTTTAGTATTGTGTAGTGTTTCTTTTAGTAGTAAATATAGTTTCTGCCAAACAAAACAAACATAGTGCTGGTCTCAAATGCATAATCATTTTCAATTTGTGAAAGAAAATGGAAATCATGCTATATAGCAAAGATGTTCAGCATTGGTGAAAGCTCCATACATAAGTGGAAGAAAAATGATATCACAATAATTAATATGCAAAAGAATGAATATGCTTTGCGGAAAGGTGTAAAAGAAATGACCTATCCTTGAACTGTTGCAAACTGGGTCCTTATAAAATCGCCATTTAGGTACATGTAGAAATAAAAAATTTTTATGCTCCTTTTCCCTTATTTTTAAATGTAGCATTTTTGTATCTGGTGTATAATGTGAACCTGTAAATTTCAATCTTATTTTTGTGTTAAAAGTGAGTGTTATATGCTGTATATACGGTAATTATTACCACATTAAATTTCAACAGACTAAAAATTTAAAAAGAAAAAGAAAAAAATGAATCTATACAATGAAACTTTAAATTTAAATTTCTGGTAACATAAAGTTTTGAATATTTTCATAAAAACAGCATTATATATTGTGCAGTTATTTATTAAAAACCTTTCTAGCTTCATGAATTAATTAATATGTTACTTTGTGAAAAATCTTTTGGGCATACACTACTAGGAAAATATAAAATGAACCAAAAAATTAATAAATAAATGTCAAACCATTAAATAAAAATATTAGGATGATTATGTCAATTGTTTAAAACAAATTGTGTTTCAACAGCACACCAAATCAAAATATGAAGATTTGAAATGCAAGAACTTAATTTAATGTTATTGCAGATAATTCAATTTTGTTTTACTGGCAATAAATGCAGTTTGATTCACTTGAAGATATTTTGTGTTTTGGTATGATACATGGAGCATATTTAATCAATGTTGAAAAAGAATGTGATTTAATTGACACTGAGAATGGAGAAGCAATATGTTCTCATTCTTTTAATGCCTAAACATTTTCTGGAACATAAATCAAATCTTGGAAATTAAAAATAAATGTTTCGGAAGTATACTACAGAATAAATGAAAGGATCTATGAACACTTAAGACTGATAACTTTTAGGTACTGGAATGCTGATTCTATTAAACACTCATTAAATTACTACAGATTAATAGAAATTCTGAAGCACTGAAACACCACGTTCTTTAAAAGTACTATTTAGTAACCAGAACGATACAGCATACTTTCTTCATATCTCGATGTGCCAGTGAACTTGTTATGCAAGCAAGAATTTGAAGTGATAAAAGGGAGGGAAAATCCGAATTAGATATGCTAAATTGAGAACAATACTATATTTTTTTGGCTGAATGTTAGAAGTTTAGAACATGAATGATGAGCACAGAAGAAAAAATCTGTAGGCATGACACAGGTTCATTTTAATCCTGTTGACTAAAAATTGTAAATAATAAGTAGTCACAGTCCAGATGTTTGCAGTCATTGTAGCCAATTTTATTCTTGAGAAGCACAATCTGAATATGAATTACACATCATAGCAAGGCATAATCTATGTGCCTATTCTTGATTGCAATTTTTGTCTTTCCTACAGCTTATGACAATACAATTGATTAAAGACAAGTAGGTGTTGGCATGACAGCAAGCAAGAGCAGTAATCTGATGTATCCAAGATGAAAGTTGGGTTCAGAATGATTAACTTTCATTTAACAGTCTCCCCATCTACTGTTAAAAAGTTTTGATTCTGAAACTGAAATCTTAGTGGCTGAAGCATTTATACAAGTGCCTGTATTATTTTTTGTTACGCAAGAATCATATGGTATGGATTAATTTTGAAATGAGGCATGTTAGAGAGATTTATTATAAGTAACTAATTTTAGGTCAGAAAAAGGAAACAGACAAATTAAAATAGAGGGTTAAAGGACTATTGCAAATTAAAGTTATTATTTTGATTTACAAGTTTTTCTTAAATCTTACATACACAAAAACCAAAATACTCATTTACATATAAACTGAAATTTAGCTCAGATAATTACAGGTGCATAATACAATATATTGTAGTATGGTAACCGTGACTCAAGCAGATATGTATTTGCTGTCATCATTAAAAGAAAAAAAGTGAAAGTGAAAAATATTTACATGGTCTGCTTTACACATTTCATAAGGAAAACTAGACAACTAAGCAACAAGCAATGTTAATGGAATGTAACTGAAATCTGTGATAACTGAAATAAGGATATATCAAAAATCATCATTTTGATTTACAGGATACTTAATGATGAGACAAATCTCTCACATGTTGACAATAAAGGCTTAAATAAAAAATCAACAGCAAGTATTAGTTAAAACTGCAGAAACACCAGGCACAGTTAGGTCAAATTTTCCCTTCTATTAACTATATGCCGTGTGGAAGGCAAATAGCTGGAATACTGTATTTATCTGATAACAGGCTAGATTATTGTTATTTATTTTAAGATGGATTTTTATTTTCATTATCATTTTAAACCAGTGCTTTTCCTTTCTTTTGAATGCTAAAATGTATATTAAGATAGGCATCAAAATGGAATATGATAGACTATTATTTTCATCATCATTTTAACCAGTGCTTTTCCCTTCTTTTTAACACTTAAATGGCATCAAAATGGAATAGTGCAATTATCGCATTTATTTGAAAATAGGATTCTCCTTGGATTTTAGGATAATTTTAAAAATGTATGTGAATATTTAACGAGAGCAAGGTTCCAATTAGAATTCATTTGTTTCTGAAAATGCAATATTTTACTATTGTACAGGAAGACAAATCAGACACATTATTAGCTATGTGTGTTCAGACATGCATGGAATAAAAAAAAAAGGGTTTAATATTTAAAAAAAAAACTGAAACCACTTAACTAGATATCACTATTATAATTAGCAGGAGTTGTGCAGTTTATATATATGGTAATTTACCTATGCAGTTATTTAGTATTTACACAATGAAATTCTTCTGTATAGTATAACAATTAAGCACCTTCCTCTTATTAAACTACCTGATTATAAGGCCAGATAAATTTTAGATAAATATAGGAAGAAAAGTCCTTTTTTTCAGTAATTATAATATGCACTTCATTATGTACCCATTTGTTCAAACTCTCCACTTAGATTATAAAAATGACCTTTTTCTGGATGGGAAGTTACAGCTGGAAAAAAGTGAGTATTATAAGAAAATCTCACTCAAAAACAGCAGCAAAAGCATATGTTTTATGAAGCAAAGACAGAGTGGACCTGGTGAAGATGAAAGGATGAATTATTATCAGCTTCTAAAAACAATGAAAACTATAAACTCACATGTACAGTAAGCAAGTTACCCACCTTCACATGCATATTTTAAATCAAAGTGCCACTTGTTCATTAGCTGAGAGATGCTCTCATGATAGCATCTCTTGATTACCATTTATTTCAAGCAAATACTACAGAAATGTGTTAATCATCTCAAAACATTTGACGATGGTGCATAAAAGTAAACAAATGCTTGCATTAATTATGCCCTTGCCTTCTGACATTTTTAAGCATTTTTTGAAACAGTATTCTGAATAATGTAGCATAAGATAAGAAAACTGATGAAAACCCCCAAGCTGTCATACAATAAATGCATTGTGCAAATATTTCCTCTAGCAAAAACTTTAGTTTTTTTTTTAATTCTTGATCTTTACCATGTTTAAAAAGATGTATGATTATGGAAAGAATAAATTTTATTTGAATTAACACTTTCATAATATTTACAAGAAAAGTGGTGTAACATTCACCATTCAGATGGTTTGAAAAAATATGGCTGATTCTAAACATTCAGAGCTATGATGTCAGTCAAAATTAGCTGACGAATCCTTGAGGATAAACTTAGAGGAGAAAATGAGTACATTTATTTACAGCAAAGTAAAACTTTTTAGCATAATTTAGTACATTTTCATTATAACTTTTCTTTCATGCTTCAGTTTTTAATCAAATTTACAATCTTATGCTTTGAGTATCAATCAAATTGTTTCCACTTTATGTTCATGATTGCATTGCTTACTCACATAGGTTATCATAAAAATAAATTGTTCAGCTTCAGTTTTTTATATAAACTGCAGTTGTTTATCTCTGAAAGCATTTCCTCCATGTATTTATTGAAAGATTTGTAACCTATAATTTGAAGTTTTCATGTTTACTTATATCTGTGCTTGATTAATTTCTTATTTATGTTTACATAACAGCAGCTAACTTGCTGAACTTCAGCCAGGGTAAAACGTTTTCTCTTCTGTATCTCATCTGTGATAAACATTTACAGTCGCATGAACATGATGGTAGAATGAAACACCTTTCCACAGCAAGATGATTTTTTCTTGTACTCTGACAAATTTTTCAAATATTAAGTTTGCTTCATTTCTTTTTAGCCTTTCATATCACCTATTAAAAATTATGAATAAAACATAGTCATATATAAAATATACTTGCAAATTAAGGTTTCCAAAGAATTTTTGGCGTATCCTAAAACAGTGCCTGACTATATAAACAGATATTATATAGTCAACCCATTGTTAAACTGTTACCTCAGCAGTCCAGTCAAAAGTGATGTTCAGTTGATAGCCTAAGCCAGATAAAAAAACAAACAAGGATGATAAGTTGCCAAGGCAGTTATAAAATATTTCACGAGAAGTTTTCTATAGTTTAAAATTCTAAATAATCCACAGGTTCACAGGAGTCCATTAGTCACATTTGGTGGAAGGTAAACCATTTATTTAAGACTTCTACTGCTTATTCTGGAGTGAGTGATGCAAGTATCAGTAACTAAAGCTATTTTTCTGCCTTTCTGCAAAATTTTTGTATCTAAATTTTCGCATAGTTCTGAAGTTGTCCAAGCCCATGAGAGGTTAATGAAGGTTGACTGTATTATACATTTCTAACTGCCCATCTACAGTGATAAAGTGATTTAGAAGACAGTTTTTTTTAAAAAAAATTATTAAAGCATTTCTAGAGGAGCAGATTAATATGCAAAAACACTATCTGTCTAATTATGTAATCACTTCCTTTTAAATTTCAATTTTACTTCATATTTTTTAGCATTATTCAATAAATTATGAGCTCAAAATAAATATTCTATACAGCCTATTTAAAAATAAATTAACAAAACTTTAACAAACCTTTATTTTCCCTGGTCTTCTTGCAGCTGATTTTTTAGAACCATAACGAAAGTGCTTTTCAGTGCGAAATAAATAAATCCAACATTCAGGTACAGGAAAACGTATCTGAATGTTTTCACATGGGACCTGACCCTGTTTTCTACTGCTGTAACCTGGAACCAATATATCAGATCTAATTTCCACTCTGGTATTGCTGACAGTCATAAAAACTCTGACCTGTAAAAGTTATTCCTTTTAAATATAATAAATAAAACATTGTGACACACATATAATTGTTTGCTCTGAAATAAAGAAAACCTTCAATGATGTATGAACTCAATCTTCTTTTTTAAAGTTAAGCGACAAATCTGAAAGCTTATTTATATTTGAGTTAAGAAAATTTTATGATTATTCATAGTTGCTTGACCTTTCTGAAATAACCAACCATAAAATGATGGATTTTAGCTGTTACAAAATTTAGTACAATATTACAGTCTTAAAGGAGGGGGGGGGACTGGCAGTCAAAATATGTGTTCATTTAATCAGATACAGGTGGGATTTTTAAAGTATGACCAAGTACACAAAGGCTGTCTGCTTAAGATTTAGCTGAACTTTGATACAGTACACCCTGCGGACTGGCATCTGAAGGTTTTGCTTCCCTACCAGAAACACTATATAGTTTGACTACCTCAGACACGACTAACAGCACAAACATGCAAGCAAACTTCAGACGGATTTATTTATGAAATATGCAACAGATTTTCTCGTTCTAATTATTTCTTCCTGTCATTTTTACACAGCATTTAAAAAGCCAAAGAGTTAAGGAACAAGACAATTTTTTCACTAATCTAAGCTGATATGTGGATCATCATTTGTAATTACCGTAATTTTGGGTAGGTATATACCGCATACATAATAGTTGACTTGGGGGGAGGAAAGAAAGTTCACGGGATAAGCCATATACGCCGCAGCAATGCATTCTGAAACATGGCACTTAATATTCATTTATTCAGTAATTCTCTGCCATATTGATGTTCTTCATCGATAACATTTTATAACATTTACAACGTAAACATAATCAGTAATGTATAAATAAGGAAGAAACATCTTACCTTGAACTTGCTGAAAATGAACTCTGATGATTTCTGATAGATATTATTTTTATGGGTTTGGTAAACTTCGTTTATCGCCATAAATTACCATATTTTGAAAAATAATACGTAAATTAGATACACAGACTTTTCTAATTAAATGAAACTACATTTATTTATACAAAACCTTCAAAATCTGACTAATTGATGTCAGAGTTAAATAAATTTAACAGATGACCATCAAGGGCAATTTCATCTTTCTGTTCTAAATCACTTCTATCAACGTCACTATCGTCACTTTCATTTTCTTTTTTAATGACTTCCAATTTAATGAAAGCTGATATTGTATCAGCTCGGACTGATTGCTATGCTTTATTGACCCATAAGGTAGCCTCCTCATACAAAGTTTTTGTCAGGATTTGTGAAGGAATGGAGTGTGCTTTGCATCCATTCCGCACTGCTTTTGTAGTTCATGCTTGAAAATTCTATTGATAGTAAGATCCAGCATTATCCCAATAAAAGAAAAGCAGTATAAGCAATATCTCATTTGAAATAAATGCCTTGGGGATTTGTTTATTGTTTACATCAGGTAAAAAATGCTGATACCTCCACACAACTACTCAAGAGCTGAAAGTATGGCCATGACCAATGCCAATCAACATATTTTAATTGTCCATAGAATAATTCCCTAGCTAGCAGATAGTTGAAAGTGACAAGGAGGAAATCTTAGCTGGTGGAAAAATAATTTTTATGGCCCACCTGCTTCCTCTCGAGTTATTATATTGTCTATTCCGATTCGTAGAGGAAAAATTGTTTAAGGGGAAAAAATGCTGGTGGCCTGGCTATGTACATGCAATTTGTATTGTATTTGGTAAAATATACATGCATTAATTACACCATATTTTAATTATAAAAACTAGTTGCTGTTAAGAATATATTGTAATGAAATTAATAGAATACAGCTGAAGTTATCACTTTCATAAAGGAAAAAATATGATAAATGGTCAAAAATTACAGCAGGATAATATAGATACATCACACACATTAAAAAATACATAACATTTTGTATTAAATCACCCATCAATATACTTGGTGATTAACAAATACAGGGTGTCTCAAAAGGTCGTTGCCAAACTTAACATGCTTGTTTGTCATACCATAACAAAATTTACATAGGAACTTGTGTCCAAAAATGCAGACGGTGACCGCTAGAGGGCAAAGTTCGCAGGCACAGAGGGGGAGAAAGTAAAGCCTAAGACTATGAAAAATATACCTAATTATATGATTTTTATTAAAAAACATAGTTAAATAAAAGATGTTCAAAATTCCTTCCATTCGCCACAACGCATGCTTCACTAACCCATTTAATACAATGGATTTCATGTATCCTCACAGGTAGGGGGGATCCAAGGGAGTTAGGTCGGTATCCAAGGAAGTTAGGTTGGGAAATTTCGGTGCCCATGTGACTGGACCAAGGCACAATACAAGTCCCAAGTAGCACAGCAACGTTGTAACGACATTGCAAACTGGTCTGAGAGGTTGAAAAGTGGTCATGGCAACTTTTACGAAGGCTTTACAACGCTGCGAAGACGCAAAATATTTGCCGTTGCATCTTGGCAATTTGCCGACATTGCTGAAACATCATGATATGACCGCTTTTAGACGTGGCCATTTTAGCATCTTTTTCATAGTTCATCAGCGTTACTTTTAGAATGAAAAGAGACTAAATCTGCCCTTTCAAGAAGCTGAAGTCTGCATAAGATTTATTTTGCAATGTTTCATTACTTTATTTCGTCTAAATATATTAATCTAAGGTAGATTCAGTTAACGAAATATAAATTTAATATAAATACTTGAGTTATTAGATTTAATTAGTACTAAAAATACGTGCTAAATTATCATTAAAATAATTAATACTTAAAGTATTTTTTATATATATTATAGCAAAATATTTAAAAATGAAACAACTCTATAAAGTAAGTTATTAAGTTCTGCATTTTATATATTAAAAAAAAAACATATTTTGGAAATCAATGCAAATCACATGTTAACAATTATTTTACAGCTGAAATATGATTTTTTTATTTTTGAAGCAAGACGAATTTATTTGAATTAATATGCTGACATAATATGAAACATTTTTACCGCATACAGAGCAAAAAGTACAATTTTCGCAAAGAAATGATCGTGCGTGAAGATGTATTCATGATTATAAATGGGGCGATTTTAAGTAATCCGAGAGAACGTCCAATGTTAAAAGACGCTACATATCCATGCATATTTAACGGCTGTCCAAAATATCTGATGGAAAATTAATGGAAAAGGAGAAAGAAATATTAACACTTTTAATGGAAAACGACAAAATTAATGGCTTTGATAAATTACTAATAAATATCGACATCAAAATTAGAGAAACTGTGAACAAAAATATGAAATTCATTACCTATAAAAGTTCTGATGAACTGTTTGTTAGGTTTTTGTCCATATCCATGCATTTAAAAATGCTTGGTTTAATCCTAGTATACGGTACACTCGGGATTTGGCGATATTGACATTACAAATGTTTTAGCGAGCCCGATAAATATTTTTTGTAAATATAACCTTGTGAACATTGTTCGTAATTCTATTCAGTTGAAATAATTCTTCTAAGCCATTTAAAAAGATTCCATTAAATTATCAGAACTGTCAAAAGGTTTAATGCAATCGTATAACTCACTGAAAAGTTACACTGATTGACAACTGTTCGACCGATTGACATTCCATGCATTTAATTTAGTAGGTGATTATATAAACGTACATCTGAGCTCGAGGCTTGTGTGCTTTGACTAGCTGCCAAATTCGAACACGTTAGTTAACTGTGTAATAAATTTCAGACTCCATCTTATTTTCAGGAATGTTTTATTCATGGTTTTGCAATTCACCGTTGGAATTAAATACTGGAGAGCTTCAATACAGAAAGAAAGCGATGCACAAGAATATAGTGATGGCAGTTTATTTTGAATTGAGGAGAAATCTTCGTGGCAACTCCGAATTTCTGCTTATTTTGTTTGTGAATATCTGCTTTACAAGACCACACCAAAAGTTTGAATTTTGGATGCATCGTTTAAAGAAAATATCGGATGCAGCTTGCTAAAGTCCATATAGAGTGAAAGAGTTTTCTGTTTTGGTGTCTTATGTGTTACCAGTGATTAAAATTATATGGTGGTTTTCCCAATCTTCAGTGACCCAAGCGGTGCAATATTTGGATACACGAATTAGTGATTTGGATATAACGTCGTAAGTGGTATATCGTATATCATTCAAATTAATCGATTATTGTGTTGTTGCTCAAAATAAATTCATATAAAACCAAAAACAACATACAACGTTAAGGCATTTCTGATGCAATCCATGCAGAAGCAACAGCAATTTAAGCTGTTATGTTGTTTGTTAGGTTATTATTTCATTTTAGCTATGAATATGGGAAGTTTTTCTTTGGTTGTTAGATTCATGAGTTCATGAGTTTCAAAATAGAAAGAAATTATTGGACTGGTACTTAATATGACTGCTGAAGATGAATTAGATATATGTAATAACATATTAGAAAAATACAAGGAATTCATTAAAATTAATAACAATGCACATTCTATATTATGTTATCTTTTGCATAGTATGTAGAAAAGGTTAATGATTTTAAAGTGTATGAAATGTATGATTGAAAAAATAGTGTTAAGGAAACATTAACATTACTATGAAATATTGTAATTTATAATTATGTGATATTTAATTGTGTAATATTAAAATAACACTAAATACTTTTTATTCATTGCAAATTGCAGTTTTATTACTTTTCGTTTGGTATCTATTCTTCCAAACACTGTGTAATTCGTGTTTTTTTTAATATTGCCATTATGTACGTATATTAGATTATCTCAATAAATGAAAATGTTGGAAATTAGTTTTATTTTTTATTAAATTTAAGTATATACTATTTTATTTGCTTACTTTTATGTGCTTGCGATAACAAAGAAATTCATAATAAATAGAAACAAAAAGTTTCATCGCGTGCTATTTAACGAAGAGCTTTTTTTAACGTACTTAGCTTACTATCGTACACTACATTTATTAAAATTATTTCTGTACAGTAACAAAAGGAAAAGTTATTGATTATATAAAGTGTATGAAATAATCATTGTAATCTACCACTATTCTAAAATGTAGAAACTAAAAGTAAGTAAATACATTAACATATGATCGAAAGAAATGGTGTTAAAAACGTGAACATTATTAGTAAGTACTGCAATGCAAATTATTGCACTTTTAATTGCTTACTATTTAAAAAACAAAAATAATTTTTTATTAATTGGAAATGTTAGTTCTGTTACTTTCCTTCTGCTTATTTATATTTTCAAACACTGCTAGTTCATTTTTTTTTTCTTAAATAGTGCTGTCATGTATGTTGTTTGTTAGGTTATTATTTCATTTTAGCTATGAATATGGGAAGTTTTTCTTTGGTTAATAGATTTAGATATATTTTTGTACGAAATACTTTTGATCACATTTATTAACTACTTTATACAGTGTTTCATTTGGATATCTTGGAGATATAGAAGTTAATGGTTATATTTTTTAGTATAAAATGCGAATAAACTTATACTTGAATTCAGGTAAAATACTGATTATGCTACCTTAAGAACTGCTTCCTAATTTATCATGACGGGGGCAATTTTCAATGTCTCTGAGATTTAACAGAAATAAATGTGATAATGTTGTTATAATCAGAAACGCTATTTTTTTTTTACCCACGTATATATCTTTACTTTTATTTATGTCTGATTGAGTTTTATTTACTTAAAAACTACTATTCATGTTATATATTTATAATAACCACTTTCATAATTATTCTCACTTACATACTAAAGGATTAAGGGGAAAAAATGATGAAATCTTAAATAATCGTGACTTGGAATTTAAATTATTTAAAAAATATAGTTTAAAGTACTGAAAATAATTAAGGCTATTACTAATTATGCATATTTATTCTAAAGAGAAAAAGTTGTATTATCTTCTGGTTTTCAGGAAATGGCAAAAGTATTTAAACTTTAGATAAATACAAGGAATACAAAATTTCAAAAAAGAAGAAAAATATATTAATTATTAAGTTAATTTTTTGCATACATCAATATGTAACAGAGACATAATAACCACATTTTCACAACTGTTGCAAAAAGGTGGAATTTGGCGAACATTTAGGTGTCTTTAAGATGTCGTGATACAATGCTTTCGCAACCAAAATATCACCTGCGAAAGATGCAATAACGGCGTATATGTGACAAAAACCTCATCTGCAATGACATAATAAAGACGTCTTTGCAACAGTTGCAAAACAGTGGGTGTTCACGGACATCTGAGCGTCTTAAAGAAGACACATTGCAACGTTTTTGCAACGACATCCGCAACAAGTACTGCTACTTGGGGTAATGCATATCGGCCAGTTCTGAGTTAGTAAACCGTTTCATCGTACTCCTGCAATGTCCTTGTCTGAAATAATCCGACTTCCCACTCTAAGCCTGCAAACATTTGCCCTCTAGCTGTTACCATTTGCATTTTTGGACACAAGTTCCTATGTAAATCTTGCTTGTCATGGAATGACAGACTAGTATGTTAAGTTTGGCAACAACATTTTGAGACACCCTGTATTAGATAGAAATGTAAAGTCAGGTAGAGTGTACTGAAATACTTGATTTTGTAAAAGAATGTGAGTTCCGCAATACTACACTCTTGGGCAGAGCTAAAAGCATTCTGCTGGTGCAAATTGCCATTTTCCAAGTGAATTTCAAATGGTATGCACCACTAAATAAATGTGGAACTCAGTGATATGAATTTCATCTATGAGGTTGCAGATAAAATGGAGCAGTTAATCAAATTAGGCACAAAGACTGTGAGTATTTCCTTTAAGCTGCTCGATTTCACTCCGCAACACCCAAAATAAAAGGCATGGTGATGAGCTCTGCACACATATAGTGATGCATACAGCTGAAAATTCACACGGGGAATCATAATTTTCCCAAATAGAACGCTCTCACCCACTGCTCAACTGTACCCTGTGTAACTTTCATGTGCCATTCTGGAACATACCTTCCATAAAAAATTTGCTTATTGTGGTCCACTCTACGTACCTGCTTTTGCATTTTTGTCAGATATTTTTTAATCACCCTGTATATACTTGAGACTGATAGCTGATCTATGCATATGTGTGTATCAAAATTATATCAAGAATCACAGATATTAAATTTTTGCTAAAAACTTTCATGCCAGAAACATAATAACTTTATAATTAATGCAATATTAAAGTTGAAAAAAAAAAAAAAAAAAAAAAAAAGCTTAAAAAATTTTACAAAGACACAAAATGCAAAATAGTCACCTGCAAAGGAAGCTCTCGATTCTTTGGTGGGCGAATACGGAATCGCAACAATTCAAATAAACATGCATCAGGAGGATGAAATCTAAAACAAAAATTCTCTATCAAGAAATGCATGCAGAAAATAAGTTTAGATGATACATATATGATAATGAATACCACAGATAAGAAGAATGAGTTTGGCAAAAGTCTAAACTGTGATGAAAATGGAATTAATAAGTAATTAAAAGTTAACACACATGATCTGCATATCTAGTTTTAAATGAACATAAGACCATTCTTTCTATTCAAAATAAGAACTGACAGAGAATGACTTCAGATATGAAGTGATAAATTATCTTTATATATTTAGAAACAGCAAAGAAGTGGTTGCCATAAAAGATTGCGATCCAATTAAACTTTTATGCCTAAGAAAAGAATTTGCACTACAATGAATATTTTTCATACATAATTACAAGGAATAAATTTTAATTTTTATAAAGCGTTAGTGAAGACATCAAATGCTATTACTTACTCAATTAGCTCTTGTGAGTCTGTTGTGCCAGTGTATAATTTATTCACCTTGGGAAACACACTTTCATTCAGATTATCTGAACTTTGCTTATGCAAATCGGCTGAACAGGTAAATACAGTCAAAAGTCTTTAATCCGGACTCGTCGGGACTTCGGCGATTCCGGATTATCGGTTTTTCCGGATTATAGATCATCGGTTTAAATCTGGTAAGATGGCATGCAGAAATTTTAAAATTAAAAATATGAAACCTTAATTTATGAAATAAAGAGTAATTATGATCTAAAGGGTATCAAAATGTATAAAAAAAGCTTAATATTTATTTGTTTACTTTATTAAACATTTCTTTCAACGTGCGCATGCGTAAAGCATACATTACGCATAGTCGAAATTAGAAAATTGCAACCAGAAAACTATTTGATGTGTATTCATGATATTTATAATGACGAGGAATTTGATTTAAATCATATCAAAGATGGAGTACATCGATATGAAATAGTGCATTTAGTAAGGAATTATAAGCTGAATAAAATAAAAACATCTGCTCTGAAGAAAAGGATAGTGCTGACAGATCAACTTCCAGTTCATTGCGCGCCAACGTCCCCCTTCCCCGCAGAGCAGCGTGAAATTGATAAACAGATTCTGGAATGGTTTAGAGAAACAAAGGATATGCCTTTATCCATTTTTTGCAGCAATTCCACTTTTTGTGTGATGGACATCGAAACATGGTTTTGCTTTGTTGATCCTTTGGCAGCTCCAGAATCAGAAATTCTTTCTGACATAATCGAAATTTCAAGCTTACTTTTATAAAATTGCTCTAACAGTCTGCAAAAAATAATAAGCCGGATCCAATTAGAAGATTAAAGAACGACGCAATCTGCAACATTAACTGAAATAGATAATTTTAGCTTAGCTTATACCGACCGTTATACACTAAACATGTATGCGTAAACATATTATGCGCACGCACAAAGGTATCACGCCAATGTGTAAACGCATTATGCGTTTACGCATGCCCAGAAAGTTTGTAGCTTTGAGGTTCGAATTATAGATCATTCCGGATTATGGACGTCCAGATTAAAGACTTTTGACTGTAATTTTTATTTTATTTTGCCAAATGTGTTCAAATGATTTGCCCACCAAAGCATACTTGTATTCCAGTATATGTTAAAAACAGAATCTCATTCAATTAAAAGGATAGATAATTAAGACTGAAATTTTATTTATTTCATCATAGTATCATAAGCCAGTTTTTAAAATACTTAAGTATTCTAATAAGACACAGATTCAAATTTTTTAAATACTTGATGTTCTGTACATTTAAAGCAAATGAATAACAATTACACTGGCATGAAAAATTAAAGGAAGAATAAAAAGGTGCTTCAGGCAAATTCTACTCTGCAAAGTCCAATGAAAAGTGGTTTGTAGCTTCAGGTCAACATTCACATGATCCAATGCAATTCTCATTCGCTACATAAAAACAAACCTGAGTCAACGTAAAGTATAAAATAAAACTAAACTCTAATTTAACTTTAGAATAATACACGTGGAAGATTGGCCTTATAATAACAGGAAGCGTATGTAGCACAGAGACTGTGAACACTACAATACGTTTAATTTATCAAGAGGATTAAAACCTCTGGCCTGGAAGGCAAACAGCAACTGCGTAACTTCTAAGGTAAGCGTCCTGCGTTGACTCACTGCTTCCTCTCTCTCGGTTGGCAAAAGGCCACCACTTAAATACTTGGCGTTCGCCAGACAAACTTTGCATAAAATCCTTAACGCTTATAATTCTGGCCGGAAGTAGAAAATAAGAAGTGATAGTAAAGATTTAAAATAAAATAAACGTTAGTAAAACTTAAGATCCTTACAAGATGACTAATTCACACAACGAAAAGATAAAATTATATGCGAAGAGGTAAAAAAACGAAACCTGTATGTTCTGGTAGTCAGTGCGCAGTACCTTAAAAGTAGTAGCGGAGCAGACCTTAATATTAAACTGGATGGATACTTAATCGCGCAAAATTTAGGTCACAAAAAAGAAATAATTTCACTATATAAGGATATTTAGTGTTTTTTCATTTCAGCACAATACATACAATAAATATTTCCATTACAAGATAAAACAGATCGAATGGCAAAAATGATCGAAGTAATAATATGTTTTACATCAATTGCAATTAGCGAACGGAATAAATTCCTCTTTAATTCCTACAGGTAGCAACCATTTATAATATATCAATCTAAGCTTGGTCACTTCAAAATTAATCTTCATCATGGGATATAACTTTATGCATCAGTGCAGACATATTATAGCCAATCACATTTTAAGGAATCGAAATTTTTTACTCTTTTTCTTAGGCTCTTCTTAATGCGTCATCCCTCTCCGCTTTCTGCTTCACCCCTCTGCAACTTGCCGCTATTTGCTGTCTTCTATCATTTCCAATGCAAAGTATTTTTTGAGAATATACCGCTGTAATGTCCACTGCAGAAGTGTTGGCTTAATGAAAAATGTGTATCAACCGTAAATAAAAAGGATACGATTGAATTCATCTACTTCTGCAAGTTTCTGCTTTCGTATACACCTATTACGCCGTATAGACCTACACCTTCCGTATACGTATACACGTATTACAAAATATTTCCAAGTCATTTTTACATTTATTCGAGAAAATTAAGTCTAAGGTTCGAAGACTTTCTTGCCAATGCTATTTCAAATCTATCCAAACGGCATTCCCAGAGTGTAGTTACTGAGATAATGATGTAATGTATATTTCACAACTACTTTGAAAAACATATTCTGAAGAAGAGGGCACTTAGACTGGATCTAAAATATCCTTTTTGAGAGATTTCAGATCTCTTTCAATGTGAGCTCGAAGCTGCTCGCTAGTAAA